TTGTGTAAATCTCCATCAAAATCATGCTTTCTCAAGTAATGCTGCATAGCAGCATGTGGCATTTTAATGATGGGCAAAGGAGGCCATCATTCCAACCTCTATCAGAGAAGGCAACACTTCCAACAAACTCAAAATCAACTACTGTTAATTATGTTACATGCAATGATAGAAGAATCTGTCATGATATAATAGGAATATCTGGGATAGTACATTTTCAGCACACTGACCCTTAGTAATCTGGATTGCTAAATAGTGTTTTAGCACCTACATTATTCCACATCTACACAAATGACCCGTCAAACTACCCTGGCACAAGATGCTTCTACACAGATAATCTGTGCATCACCACAAAGTCCAAGGAGTTTGGCATATTAGACACATATTACACTAAACACCCTAGACAAGTACTATGCAGCCAACCAACTGTATGTAAACCCAGCAAAGATGCAAGGCAGTGCATTCCATCTCACAAACCAAGTAGCCAAATGTGAACTCAAGGGCAGCTGGATTGAGACAAAACTGACTCATCCCATAAATCCCTAACCTTGGTGTTACTCTCGGCCGCACACTCTCCTTTAGAGATCATATTGAGAAAACTAAAGCCAAGGTTAGCAGACGAAACAACATTCTCAGCAAGCCAGCTCCCAATAGTCAAGCACCTACCACCCAGTGCAGATCAGCTCTGGACTACATGGTATTGCCTTAAATGACTCCGCACTGGAGTTGGCCAATCTAGAGATGCGATGATCAAGAGATGCTGACACTGCGGCAGAGAGCCTCAAAATACGAAGCATCTCCTGCGATGCCAGCTGTTAAGCACACATGCTGTTCCAGTGACCTGGGGGACTGCAATGAGATCACATGTGCACAGACGTGATGGGAAGCAGTATTGAGACACAATAAGAGATCTAAATTACTCACATGAAACTGTCAAATTCTCAGTGCTTTTCCTACAACATTTCTTTATGTAAATAATTTAGTTTCCAGCATCACCAAAAATTTGCCTGATCAGACTTTTAGGAGAACACGTGTTCTATAAACCAAGTGAAATAGTTCCACATTAAGCAACATTTGCAGAGGGGAGAATATTTTTGTTTAAACAAATGTGGTTTATACATCTGATCTACAGGAATGACATAGTTCTGCAACAATGACAAGTTAGGTATATTGAGTAATGATTAAATATATTTTCATGCTTCTGTTTTCCACAGAGTGTGACTATTTTAATAAATTCTAATAAATTTATATTTCAATCTCTGCCAGAGAATGGGAGTTTACCAATTATGTAAATGTTAATTAAAAGAAATATGGATCTCTTTGTAACTTAACTAGCTAGAGAGCTGCCCTAAGTGTACTGTAAAATTCCAGAAAAATTTCGTCCATCCCCTCTGGAATATTCATGACTAAGACATTTGTTTCATTTGAATGAATAGTATTTGCTGCCTCTTCCTTACTAATCATTAGGTGAGCTGACACCTTGGCTTGTTCCCTTGGTCACAAACCTTTCTTTTCAAGAAAATCAACATCATTTTGGCCCCTTTGCTATTCATTACATTAAATTTGAGCTGTGTAGTAGCCAGTGGACCTGCAACAGATTGAGATGTTTTACATTCAATAAAGTGCTGCTATACCTATATCAGGGGTCGGCAACGTTTGGCACGCGGCTAGCCAGGGTAAGCATCCTGGCGGGCCGGGCCAGTTTATTTACCTGCTGACACGGCAGGTTAGGCCGATCGTGGCGCCCACGGGCTGCGGTTCGCCGTCCCGGGCCGATGGAGGTGGCGGGGAGCGGCGCGGGCGAGGGATGTGCTGGCCGCGGCTTCCCGCCGCCCCCATTGGCCCAGGACGGCGAATCAAGTTTTTTCCATTTTACAGGTTGATTTTCAGTTGCTAACAATCCCTCCCCTCCCATCCCATTTTTGGGTTGAAATCAGTCACATCTGTTCTCAGTTTGATTCACTGTTTGGGTTTTTATTCTGTTGTTATTTTTTAAGATTAAGCGAAAATGTTTCAGTTGTCTGAAAACCAAGAAGGTGAATACAATTCACACAACCCCCTACCATTATAAAAAAAAATAGTTAGTGACCTTTTTCAGACAGCACTGGTATTTCCACAGTGGGGAATATTAGAATCTATAAAGACCTTGCTTCAAGAAATATCTTATTATACTTATTCCATAATGCAAATCCATCAGAAGTATTTCTATTTCCAACACATTGGCAAGAATTTATTTGAAATAATTTTCTCTTGCATACTTCAAACATGAAGGTTTAGGGGTTTTTTGAGAAAAGTGTTCCTTCTGCTCACTTATTTTGTTTTTCCATCAAATATATTTCCCTATTACATTTGATCTAAAAACTAGTCACAGAACACACCAAAGCTCATAGCCATCCATCACAAGGGCTTTTACAAATCATGATTACACAATCAAAATCTTCAATACACTGATACATAAAAGCACAGTGACTGTATTCCAAAATAAACACATTGTTCAGAAGCCCTGTGTACAGATGATCAATTTGTTCCTAAAATTTTCCAGATTCCAATACACAATTAAATTGTAGCTTCGGTATTCTGCCAAATGTTCAGCTATCAGGTTCTCACTAATTCTTACATTTAAACATTTTCAAGATGGCAACATCCAGAACATGGTCATTTCCTTAGGAAATTAAAAGTTACAGAGGCTTGAAATTAAGTGATTTGGAATTAATCAAATATAGTGGAGTGTAAACAAATAAATAATAGTACATATTTTCCCACATTGTCATTATACTCTCTTTGTTTATTCTCCCCAAGGATTATTCTTTAAAATCAAGGCATGAGAATAATATTACAGCCTAACAACATTAATATCTATGGGAATGACACCCAGCAAGTAGAGCAAAACACAGCAATTTAGTTTGGCACTTAACATGAGCAAGCTAAACTTTTAATAAGACAACTTCCTAAGTACCTGTCTAAAGCCAAAATTAAAATGTTTAATGCTCATAATGCTTGGATTTTGAATTTCTCTGTAACAATACTATGAATCCTAATTCAGGACACTAAAGGATTTCTAGCTGTGTAGGGTCTATTCTCAAAGTTGCTGAGAATCTTCAGCTGTCATTAAAATCAAGGGAGAACACCACTTTGCACGACAGGGTTATAACACTGTGTGTACATTTCACTCCCCATCTTTTCCAGATACTTTTGTGATTAACTTCTTTAGTCTCCACATCTACGAAGAGATCGTTACAGTGAAAAACAGGCCTGTTTGCCTCTCTCAGGCATTAAACATCCCTACATTTAAATTGGTAGATTTGCACTGAGACTTTTCAGTACCATCTTGAAAAAAGCAAACGTGACTGTATTTTTAATATTTTAATTTTGTTGAATAAAACATTACTTTTAAGAAGTTGATAACCTAAGTGTCTGATCTAACACCAAGTTCATACAGAAGTTAATCCTGGAACAGAAAGCCAAATTTTTCCAAAACTCAAAACAGATTCTGGGCAACCCCTGGGAACATAAGTGCCTGACCACATGCCAAGGTTGCTTAAATATTAACCCAATAAAATGAGAAGTCAGGATTTCCTAATGCCTCTCTCAGTAAGAGTATTGTTTAATACTAAACATTTCTTATACTATTAATGCTTTCACTATATTTTATCTACCTTGCTTACAGTTCAAAGCAATTGTTTAGTGCAACACTATGGATCAATGCATTATTCTTTTGTTTAAATTCTTTACAAAACTAACTGACCCATTAAAGTTCAACTACTTCATGATATAAAGGATTCTGATTAAAACGGGAGTCAGAATATATGTATTTCTGATAGCCCCAATTTATGCAAGGACTTATGTATCTGTGTGTATATGCTCCAATACCCTCTCTCACTAAACTAACACTTCCAAAAATGTTAATTCAGCTTAATAGGAAGAACAGATGCTCCAACAGTTATTCCTAACAGCTACAAGAAAAATAAACTCTTGTCCAAGAGTCTAGAATGGTTAAAGGTGGATGTGTTTGTTACAACAGGTAAAATAGCCCAAATCCATTAGTGTTTTCACATGCTAGTTCTAAATTCTTATACAATCCATACTTCACATCAATTATTTGGGTTCACAATAGAGTGCTACTCTAATATAAATTAGAGGTGGTTGGGAAATTTTAAAAAAGGGAAGATTTCTGCGTGCACACACATACTCCATTTTTTGATCAGCTCTAATTAGAATAGGAGACACGTTGATCAGTTAGTTGTTCACCTTGCAGTGAAATGTTTGTAACAATGCAAAGAAATTGCCAATGATAAATAAATAAGCTGCAATTACTTTCATGTGAACCTAGACTTATCTGCAATATTCTATTCCACAGTTCTCTGTACTATACCAAAATACTACATTCTAGATGAATGTAGAAACCAAATACCTATACTAAGAGTTCAACTTCAACAGTTTAAAACAATCAGGTAAACAAAAGACATTTTTTAGGAGGAGGAGGAAGAGAAGGAGAAGGAGAAGGAGAGAGTTGTACCCTGGACTTGGACCACAAGGGGTCTTATTTTACACTTTCTATATCAGCTCCTAAGCTCTTCTAACCTCATTATTTTTAAAATCTGAACCTCAAACATCTAACTTATTAGTTGCCAAAAACAAAGAAGAGGGGTGTGTGTGTGTGTATATATATCTATCTATATATCAATGACAAAACATACTATAATGCACTGAGAAAAAAAATCTGTTATGTCAGCTAAGAGGTATTTTGCTAAAGAAATCTACCAAATGAGTTGAAGAGACGCACATATTTCTTAAACAACAGAAAATCAAGGAGCCGATATTAAGTTTTAGTGCCAATTTACTAAATAAAGATGGGGAAAAAGCTTTTTCAGCCCTCAGAAGGTCATCGAAGACTTAATGGGAACCCATGGCAGCTCTACATCTTGAGTAATGAGGCACAGTGACTACTGAAAAGAAAGGACTCCAGCAGGACAATACCCCAAAGTGTAATTTACCACACCTACCTGTAGTTCTTTAACAACTCGTTTGATGAGGTGAGTCCCCAGTTCTACACCCTGAAGTCCCTGCTGAGTCAAACTGATTGAATAGAAAATGGCTGTAGTAATTTTGTTCATATCTTCTGTTTCTAGAGGGGGAACCTCTTTCACTATGGCCTGTGAAAGAACAATTAAAAAATTAGTAAGAGTTACCATCACCACAAGACTTATTTCATTTTACTACACCTCTATCCCGATACAATGCTGTCCTCGGGAGCCAAAAAAATCTTACAGCGTTATAGGTGAAACCGCGTTACATCGAACTTGCTTTGATCCACCAGAGTGCGCAGCCATGCCCCCCTGGAGCGCTGCTTTACCGCGTTATATCGGGTCGCGTTATATCGGGGTAGAGGTGTACTTTTTAATTTATTAATAATAATGACAGTGTTTCCATTCTCTTACTGTATTCAATCTATTGAGACAAAGTCAAGCTCTAGCACAGTATAAAAGATATTCTAATCATCACATCCCACACTCCGAATCCCCCCCCGTCGTTCCTCTGCCTAGGAGCAGCAGGGACATGTCGCCGCTTCCAGGGAGCCACGCGGAGCCTGCGCCAACCGGACTTTCAATAAAGACCAGAAATGCCAGTTTATAGAGCTTGCCGGTTGGTAAAGTGCCAGATAACACAGCTTTCACTGTACTTTGGGGGGGTGGAGGAGGAGGAGGAGGAGGAGGAAGGGACCAACCACCCATTACTGGCAGGTATCATTAACACAACAACAAAAATAGACTTTTTCTTCAATGAACAAAAGATTCCTGCCACTTATTCTAAAACTGTATTACAATTCACATAGATCACCTAAATCATTAACTCACTGGAGTTATTCTTGAAAAAATAAGAAGTATCATTAGTAGCACCAAGAATTTAACTTGGATTTTCAAAATGAGAGTTTAACACAGACTTTTGATCCATTCTGAACCAACTTTTTTAAACAAGCCTATTTAGCGATTTAAATATTGAAGTAGGTATGGAATATGCTGATTGTACCTGGATGCTGCTGGAGATTTCATTGGTTAGTGCTACATGCAAGGCTATCAATGGTTCCCCAGGGATTGCACAGTGGGCAAAAAAGTAGCACCTTCTATATGACCCAACTCGACGCTTCATATCAATCCAGTTTCTGACAGGGTGCACTGCTTCAGAGCTGAATAGGAGGTTAAAAAATTAAGATTTTCATCTAAAAGACAGAATTCACCCAACCCACTGTATCAACCCAATGCTGCTCCCATTAATGTCAATGGCAAAATTCTTATTGACATCAGTAGGGCAGGATCAGCTTAGAAATGAGAAAATGAAATTCACCCTTAAGCTGAAACATAACAGATTTTGTAAAATCTCTCTCACATACACACACGCTGTGTCTGTGTATAGCCTTCTCTGGAACATAAAGTTCCAATTTGCAGTTTGTATTTTACATAGGAGACCAGATTAAATCACTATGCTACTGATTCACTGAATGACCTTGGGTATATCACATCCCCTCCCGCATCAGTTTTCCCAACAGTACAATAGAGATAATATTTGATCACCCTTGTAAAGAACTTTGAAAGCTTTAGATGAAAAGCACTACATTAAGCGCAAAATGGTTCCTCCTAATATTACTGTCTATGCTAATGGAATGCTATTTTCAAATACATTTAAAAATCCAGCCTCCTCATCCCATCCTATTGCTAATACTTTTGTTGCATGTGCACAGAATGGTGTCATTTTTTAGAAAAGGGAATCTAGATATCAGTGAAAGGGTTTTATAAATTAATATTTCAAAAGGATTCATGTAATACAGTGAAACAGGAACATGAAGTCTCTCCTCAACCAGTTTTAGTACTCTATTCAAATCCTTTAATTTATCAGTATCCACAGATTAATCACATATAGTCTTAATTAAACTAAATAACATTTATTTTTGATTTGCAGACCTAGATTGTATCATCATTTTACTTTCTTTGTGTTACAAAGAACAGATGAAGTTGTCTACCCTCACAACTCTTTCTTAGAGATGTTGTTTTCTTGAAAGCTTTTCTTAGAGTTCAAGTATGGCAAAAAAAAAAAAAATCAACACAATAGAACTTTGATTCACACATTTCCAACTGAATCAATTTTGAATACAGGACAGGAAGATAGAAATAAATATTGTCGATTGTCAAGGCACTTGTATAAACTTGACCTCAATTTACAAGAAAAGCTGTGTTATCCAGCACTTTACAAACTAGAAAGCTCTATAAACCGGCATTTCAGGAGTGGGTGCGGTGTACCGTGTCTGGGAGGGAGTTTGGATGTGGGAGGGCGCTCAGGGCAGGTGGTTGGGATGTGGGAGGGGTTTTGGGGTGCCGGATCCGGGCGGCACTTACCTCGGAAGCTCCCTACAAGCAGCGATGTGTCCGGAGAGGCGCGGCCAGTCGGCTCCGTGCGCTGCTCCAGCTTCGCCCCGAGCACTGGTTCCGCAGCTCCCATTGGCCAGGGACCATGCCAATGGGAGCTGCGGGGTCGGTGCCTGCAGGAGGAGGCAGCACACAGAGCTTCCTGGCTGCGCCTCTCTGGACAGGTTGCTGCTTGCAGGGTGCCGCCTGAGGTAAGCACTGCCCAGATTTGGCAGCCCGCTCCACAACCCCCTGTCCCGAGCCTCCTCCCACACCCAAACTCCCTCCCAGGGCCTGCACCCCGCACCCCCGCTCCTGGCCTCCCAATCCCGAGCCTCCTCCTACATCCAAACTCCTTCTCCCTGAATTAACCGGAATTTTTTACTTACCCGTTCCCTGAACATGCTGGATAACAAAGCTTTAACTGTATATTTTACACTGGATTCTGCACACTTTAAATTACCACTAAACATGACTGCAGAAGAATTACAATAATATTTGATTAGATGTATGGTCTTGGTACACTACACTGACTCCTTACTGTGTAGAGTTCACCAGCAGCAGAATAGACTTGTATGTCTTTTATGGCCATCACAAGAGATATTCTTCTTGGCTCTAAGCATACTCTCCCAGAGCCTACAGCTCTAATTTATGCTGAAAAAGACCCTAAGTATGAATCATCTCACGCCCCAAGGATATTATTTATGATCTACATAATTCTGTTAAAATCAATGTATGTGCTAAATAATATGTGTAAGGTTGCAATTCTTTAATCATACTTTGCAATATAGCACAGGAATGCAATTTCTTGAGGTGGGATCTACACAAGGGCCTGCAGAAAGGCCAACCCATTGTTCAAACTACATCAACAAACATTGGAAATTCTTGGCACTTACTCACTAATCTTTTGAAGAACTTCACAAGGTGACTGCCAGGTGACTCGCTCCAGGTTTAGGAATCCAGTAGAAAACCATTCTGAAAGCATGCTCTTTAGCATGCCATTCATTTCCTTGAAACAGGAAGAGAAAAACTGACTCATTACTTTGAATAAACTGGGTGCAAGATAAACTGGGACAAGGCCATCTGTCTATTTCACTAAGGATTTTTTGTTTACTTTTTACCATTATCACACTGAAAGTTTTAAGCAAGTTACTGGGTCCATTTGAGAAAGCTAGTTGCAAATCATCTGAAGCTCGAATAAATAGAAATCCTTATAATCTAGGACTAAAATGAGGAAAATGTTTACAAGATAGTATGCAGACATTCTCTACGGTGCGCTGCAGATTAGAACCCAAAAACAGTTAAGGTGAAAAGGACACACCAGAACAGCATCTGAGTGGTCTCTAACACTGACAAGAACTGAATCTCAAATCACACATTTGCTCAGATGCATCAATTTGGATGCCAAAAACAAATCGAGGAGAAGGTTTTCAGATTGAATGTCTCGTAATATTCTGTCTCAATCTCTGCTGAATACTAAGCAGTTCACATATCAGGAAGGTTATTAGCATTAGATCAGTATTATGGTCAACATTCATAGATACCACTTGTCAACCAGATTTAAAAAGAGTAAGATACTCTAAGCAAGCAAGCAAACCACTGAAGAATTTTTAAATCACTTGCATATTACTCTTTGTTCACTACTGTTTTTGCAAGTGTTTTAACTCCTCTTCACTGCTGGCTGCACAAAGAATAAAATGGGTAAGTATGTTCTATTCCAATGCTACCTATAGCACTGACAAAGCAGGAAAGACCTTTTCTGTAGTGTTACCTCCAGGACCAAGATTACATAGGTCAGGTGAAAAAAGCTTAGCTGAGTCTGCTTGTAAACCTTGGCAACCCAATTCTCTACACTGGCAGTTAGCATAACTCACACATGGATGCTTCTGCTTTAGACAGATGCCCCTCGAAGAAATGGTAGCGAATAGAGTTCACAGATATCCCAACTAGTTTATCAGTCCCTGAAATGTTGTAGTATATCAGCACACTGGCCTCTAGGGAAACAGACTAAAACTCTCTCTGATGTTGCAACACTTGAGTTTGTTCCAATGTATTGCTATACTCTGCCTGACCTTCAGAGTATTCTGTATTGCAGTCAGTAACCAGGTTACCAGAGGAACTCCCCGCCCCTCACACACACACACACACACACACACACATTTCATTCATTCTTTGGTGCTGCTCTATTGTGCCTAAAGGAACACTTTAAAAAAAATGAATATAAAATAAACCACCACACCGTTTTCTAGATCACTAGCAAACAGATATTTAATCATCAGAAATCACTTAAATACAAGAGGTGCTCACCAGTTTCATGTCACGACACACATTAAACAGCACAAATAACTTTGCATGCCAAAAGAACAGGAGTACTTGTGGCACCTTAGAGACTCCTGTTCTTTTTGCAGATACAGACTAACACGGCTGCTACTCTGAAACTTTGCATGCCAAGTTACAAGATCTTTAGTTGTAATGTACTACGTATTAGTGTCCCTCTGTATTCCCCGTTAGAAGCTGAACATGATAAAAATAAGCTATCAAAAGAGAAGATTCTGCAGCATAAAGAATAAATCTCATTAATATATATAAATATATAAATGAATGAATGAATGAATGAATGGGTAGGTTTGATTTATTCAAACAACAAATGTACTCATACCCTGTCTGTGTAAGGTCTGCAAAAACTTCCAATGGATTCAAGTGACCTGTATCTCAAGGAGGATAAATTTAAGACAGCTATCTCTTGGACCACATACGAGCACATTGTTGAGGAGCAGATGTAATTATGTACATTGACTATTCCATGCAAAGTTTCATTGCCACAATTATGGAGGCAAACTCATTCCTGATATAGCTCCAGTCACTTCAAGGGACTTACACTCTGGATGAATTTGCCCCACAGTCTCCTTCAAAAAGATCCCAAAACTACTTCAAACACAAAAAATAATTTTAGAAATAGCAGTTAATAAAGCTGGCATGTGTAGGATATTTTTATATATTTTGATTTTATATTTATAATCACCCAGTGTATGTTACCAATGCCTAATTAGTTATTAAATATGCATATTTTGGTTGTGTCAAGACATTTTAATCAGGACTTCAATGTACAAAACATTTTATAAACATAGTAATTGGCATGGTCCCTGACCCAAATTACTTGCATTTTAAAATGGGAATCAACTTATGAAGAGTGTGGGTTGAGGAGACAAATCTCATTTTATATAAATATTATTTTTATTATGGTGTAAATTATGTAATATTAGCTTTCCCTAACTACCCATCAGTCACCTGCAAGATGGCCTCTGAGTCTAGCAATAAATTGTTGGCAAGTTTCATGTGAGCACCACGGCAAAACAGATCTTGAAAAATTATATAAAAGAGAGGCTAGCAGTTTTATAGATCAGGCCAGGTAGGAGATTACAAACTGAACATAAAGCACACCTCTTGAAGTCCTGTCTCTTAGCTTTAGGATCTCGCATCACAGATCTGAGAACAAGTGCCAGCATGTCTGCACCTAATGGCCCCCAAGTTTTCTACTACTATCTACCAACTATGAACTAACAATTAACTTATCTAAAGGCAGGCACTTGGAAACTGTTTCCAGAGAGCTACGTCGGACACTCGGCCAGTGTTCCTGGTCTGCGCAATACCACACAGTTTAATGAAACCGAGGCACTTGGGGCTCTCTTTTTATATCCTTGCCTGCAGAACATTTGGGGCCCTGAAGGAGGGTGCATCGGTACTCCAACAGGTGGAGATTTTAGAGGTTTCCATTAATCCTGCTACATCAGCAGCACATCTCCCATTATTGGGAACGTACAGAGGCCTACTTGAAGAATTTCAAAATTATACATGTAGTTACCTGCAATTCAACTGTTCAACTGCCCCTGATCATTCTCTTTCGCCTCAGAAAGGTTAGACCTTGGTCAAGATGGTCCAATTTGAAAGATCCAAGCCACTAACTCATGTAATGCCTTTCTTCACTGGTTTCTTTGTTTTTATTGTTTGCAATATAGATATATATGCATTTGGGCAGCAGTAGAAAGGTTACCTACAGTAGGAACAGACATGGCTCAAAAGCCTTACTCCACACTATTACATTTTTTACAGGGTACAGAACTACAGCATTAGAAATGTGGATTCCATAAATATTTACTTGTCTTTACTCTGGTAGACCCCAAAGGGGCTGTACTGGAAGTACCAGGAAAAATAAGCAACCACACTTTGCACTGCTGTAAACCAGAGTATGTGCAATTTAGAACATAAAGACTTTACTTTAGCACTATGTTTAACACACTGGTTTTAGTAATATTTGAGCATGACCTTTGTCCCCTGGTTATGAACACAGAAGACAGGTCCTTGGGGTTTTGTTTGTTTGAATACTCCTCATATTTTTCCCTTTAGCTTTTTCCCCCCTCTCTCAGCAGAAACGCTAGTTTTAGGTGGATTCAATTGTGACCAATCACAGGAAGCACAACTATCTAGCTAGTAGTACAATAACAATTTGTAAAGTGTTCTACTTTCAATTCTTATGGTTATACCAGATACTCACGCAGAAGAAAAGTTTTTTTCTGGAGGATCAGATTTTAATTTCCATTTAATAAATCACTTTAATTCAAGACAGGCCTCACATGGCTGAACATCTTGCATCAGAGAAAAAGCTGAAATGCTCAAGAGTAAAATAAAATTGGGAACAACAGATTAAGGAGAAGGAAGAAAAGGGAAACAAAAAAACTGGCGGAACAGCCAGCGAACAGGAGATGGACAGCAACTGTCGAAGATGGGGTCAGGGGGTAAAAGGGTAAGGAAATCGAATGATAGTCACATTTTAAAAACTCTATTTTTGGGGAGCCATGAATGCTTCCCCCCCCCCCGCCATACAAAACCTTTTGGCCTGTTATCTTTCTCCACTAATTTTAATGTGGATCTAAGCAATTACATCTGTTTGCAACATTAGGGTCTATGCCAGTAAAATGACCAAAAAAATAAATGAATCAAACTAAATGTATCCCCATATACAAATGAACATAGCTAGTTATCTTTAGTTTTGCTAGTTAATAGTGAGCTAGTGAATAATGTAAAGCTATTGACAAATTTATAGCATGCATAGAGCACCATTTTATTAATTCTAACCTTGTAACTTCAATCATTCATTACATAACGTATCCGATTTTATTATGACTGACAAAATGTAGAAGATCCTTAAAAGAGAAACTTCTCAAGCTCAACAAGGAGAATAAAGACTTTTCAAAGAAATGTGAGCACTTTTTTTTCTGAGATCTTTTTCCTGCTAAAAGATCCACTTACTGTAAGTTACGGACTTCATATTTCACTTCTATAACTTAGAACTTTTTTTGGAAGGGCTAAGAGAACACTGAGATAAATATAATAGATCCTTCATTGCGTTTAGTCTTAAACCTGATTTTCAGCAATAGTTTTTACCAGCAAACAAAATATAGTGAACTTAAAAACGTAACCTGAAAGTTTATCACTTTTCTGTGGACTAGACCTTAAAGAAATAGAATTTTACGGATGCTGTAGCTCAAAATCCCTGTAGAAAACTTTTCTACAATATGCATCATATCCCATTACTAGAAGATCTCTGGACCTTAGGATAGAAGATGTAAACCTTTAAATAGGATGTGGCCACACACAGAGGTTAATAGAAGTCATCTGCCTAAATCCCATGTAAATCTGGAATTTTGAGTACGGAAGAGTGAAAGAGCAGAATATGAATATAAAATTCAGCAAAGGGGTTCACAGCTTTGTAGCAACAATACACACCAAAGTACACAGTTGAATAAAATAATTTCAAAAAGTTGTATTACAGTACATTATAATAATGAATTTTATCTTCTTCATTTGCTTTCATCTATCTCCGTTATAGAAGATTTGAAGATGCAGAATTACTTTCCAAACTGAAATGGTAATTCTTAACCCTAATCAAAGTATGAATCTCCTGCAGTAATGTTCTGTGGCTAATTTTTTTTTTACAGTAGTTTATATTAC